GAGAGAGAGAGAGAGAGAGAGAGAGAAGAAGAGAGAGAGAGAGAGAGAGAGAGAGATGGAACAGGAAGCCAGACGAGAGGAGCAAGGAAAGAGAAAAGAAAAAATCCCAAACACTTCCCTGCCTGTCACTCTCCCTCCAGTGTTTACGAAATGGTAACGCCCCCTCCTCCTCCCTCCACCCCCACCCCCGCCACTCCTCCCTTTGAAACTGGGTTTTTCATTCACCCCGATCTGTCTGTCTGTCTCTTTATCTATCTATCAGTCTATCTATACATATATGTTATATATATATATATATATATATATATATATATATATATATATATATATATATCTGTCTGTCTGTCTGTCTGTCTGTCTGTCTCTCTCTCCTCTCTCTCTCTCTCTCTCTCTCTCTCTCTCTATAATATATATATATATATATATATATATATATATATAATATAAGTATAGATAGAAGAATATAGATATATACATTTATAAACGTGCATGCGGTGTGTGTGTGTGTGTGCATGTGTGTGTGTGTACACTGACACGTGCATTGGTAAGCTCGTGTCTGTGCTCGCCGACTGCTTTCTACCTTTATCTCTTCCACCGCAAATGCATCTTCCCAAAAGGACCTCGATTTCTGAAAGCCCAAGATCACAACAAGTCTCCACCCACTCCCCCCAAGCACCCCACTCCCCCCTCCCCCTCCCTCCCTCACTCCCTCCCCCAAGCACCCCACTTCCCTCCTTCGCAGCCCCACTCCCCCCCTAAGCAGCCCCCCCCCCCCCACTCCCTCCCCCCCCATTCCTCCCTCCCTTCCCCAAGTCGCCCCTCCCTACGCGCAGCGCGGGGCAGGGGGAGTCCATTGAGCGATAGATAATACGGCCTCATTTGCTTCCTTCGAGAATGGCGAGAGCCGTGGTCGAAATCGCGGTTTACCGAGTATATGGGGTGGGGATGGGGAGCGTTGGGGTATATGTGGAGGGGAGATGGGTGAAAGAATGGAGAGAGAATGGGTGATGGAATGGGAGGCGTGTGGGGTGGGGGATGGAATGGTGAGGCGTGAGGGGTCGGATGGAATGAGGAGGGGGGCGTATGGGGGAAGGGGATGGGGGGGAAATGGGGAGAAGGCTGAGGAATCCGAATGGGGGAAGTGGGGAGAGACGGGTGAAGGAACGAAGGAAATACATGGGGAGGGGAATAATGAGAGAAAGGGGGGAGAAGAGAAGGTTTAAAATTCCGAGCCAAAAGTGCGCGTCACAAATACAAAATCGGAGAGACAACGGCAGCGATGTCATTGATAGCGATTATCGATCATTAGGTCCGAATTTTGTCGAATTTTCTCGAGAGAAAATGGGTCGGGCGTGTGTGTGTGTGTGTGTGTGTTGTGAGAGAAGAGAGAGAGAGAGAGAGAGAGAGAGAGAGAGAGAGAGAGAGAGAGAGAGAGAGAGAGAGAGAGAGAGAGAGAGAGAGAGAGACTAACTGACAGACAAGCAGACATAAAGATAAAAGATAGAAAATGGAGACGAGAGAGAGAGAGAGAGAAGAAGAGAGAGAGAGAGAGAGAGAGAGAGAGAGAAGAGAGAGAGGAGAGAGAGAGAGAGAGAGAGAGAGAGAGAGAGAGAGAGAGAGAGAGAGAGAGAGAGAGACTAGAACAGAGAGAAATCATTCCAGACTGATAGTTGGTAGCGACATCTACCTCAATTACTCCCAACGAGTGGCGTCTCGTAATTACTTTATACCTCGTTAAAGTCACCGGGAGACCAATCCGTCGAATCCGAGAACTTTGCTTACCTACCAGATAATACAATCAGCTTACACGTTAATTATATAGTTATCTATATATAATAAATGGACTGGCATTATTATCATGAAGGCTCGTCGCTTAAATGATCCTCGAATGACGCTCTGTTGTTGTTTGGTGATAATAATCAGTTTTGACCCAAAGATGGCATGGGATAACAAACTGTTCGATTCCTCTGACTATGGCTTCTGACTATGGCTTCGGTTCAAGTGGATAGATGTTTCGGAGGACAATGTTGATAATAGTGGTGGATGGTGATGATGCTGGAGATTGTGAGGGTAATGATAATAATGATGATAATAAAAATAGTAATGATAATACTGATAGTAATGATAATGATAGCAAAATGATAATGATAATAATAATGTTAATCATAAGTAAGGATAACAAAACGCCATAATTAATAATACCAATAAGTATTATTGATAAGTGTCAGATAACAGTATGAACAGCAATCAGAACAATAATTATAAAATACAACATCAATAACAATAAAAACGATAACAAGTAAATGAAAATAACACTAACAATAACATTAACACTCCTTCAACCCGAACACGAATTGCAAAATAATTGTACGAGATTTTTCAAAAAGAGAAGCTTTCAAAAATAATCAGCTGTCGCCACAAAGGTGAATGCCATGAGTGGGTGTATGCTTGCGAGCGTGTGTGCGTGAATGAGTGAGTGAGAGAGGGCCTGTGTGATTGAGTGCGTGCGTACGTGAATAAGTGAGTGAGTGCGTGCGTGAATGAGTGAGTGAGAGAGTGCCTGCGTGATTGAGTGCGTGCGTACGTGAATAAGTGAGTGAGTGCGTGCGAACGTGAATAAGTGAGTGCGTGCGTGCGTACGTGAATAAGTGAGTGAGTGCGTGCGTACGTGGATAAGTGAGTGAGAGAGTGCGTGCGTACGTAAGTGAGTGTGCGGTAACCTACAGGATTAAGTCAGTCCGCCATGTTTGCTACAACACTCTACATCATTTTTTTCTTCATTTTTTAAGGGGTGGGTGTGTGGGTGGGGGGGGGGGTAGGGGGGAGGTCGACATAGGCCTATCAACTTTTCACTCCGACCTTTTTTGAGAGAACATGAGTTATTACTGAGAAAATTTCGTTCATGACCTGGTCTTTAAAATTCCTTTTTCTTGGGGGGCTGGGGGGGGGGGGTTCTTGTTAGGCCTCACACACTTATGTTTTATTTAGGCAAACACGATGCGCTGTGGCGATTTTTAAAGACTATTGTTTTGTTTACTCTTTCAGTTTATTACTAATTCATGTTTTATTTCATCAATCTATTTATTAACTATTTATTTGTTTGCGGATGTGTGTGAGTGAGCGAGTGACTAGGTGAAAGGGTGAGTGAGTGAGTGAGTGAGTGAGTGAGTGAGATGAGTTGGGTGGGTTAGTGAGTAAGTGGTTGGGTGAATGAATTAGTGTGAGTGTGTGTGAGTGAGAGCGAGAGGGACTGAATGCCTGAGTTAGTGAGTGAGAGAGTGTCTGAATGGCTTAGTGACTGTGAGTGTGCGATAAAGTGAGTGAGTGTTTAAGTGAGTGTGTACACGAGCGTGTGAAATAAGTTTCGAAACGTGATAAAGAAAAATGCAGACATGTGCTCACCACATCTAAACACAAACAGCACACGTTGATATCTCTATATTTATCTTTGTAAGTATACATATATAGATATATAAAGCAATAAACACACGCACATATATGCATATATATACACATATATACTGTATATATATATATATAATATATAATATATATAATAGTATATATATATATATATATATATTTATGTATGTATATATATATGTAAAATACACACACACACACATATACATTTATGTATAATAACATATAAACATATAGCATGTATGTATACATGTAAGCTATGTAATCATAAGCTGTATATATTTCCGATAACACTACACTTTCTATCTAAATATGCGTTTTACACACATAAACTAGCATACACAACACATAAATATACATGCTTATGGTCTGGCTCATATTACTTTGATAATTTTTTTCCTTTAAAGAAAAGAAAATATGTATCTTCTTGAACTTTGAATAATGTGAAAGAAGATGGATGCCGGGAAAGACGCAGGAAATCTGAATTTAAAATGGCTTTCGTTTCTCATTTTCCTTATTTTTTTTCCGTATTTTGAAGTGTGTTTTAATGTTTTATGTATACGCTTACATTTATCTATGTGTTGGAAATATATATATATATATATATATAATATATATATATAAATATATAATATATATATATATATATATATACATATATATATATATATTATATATAATATATATATATATATATATATATATATATAATATATATAATATATATACGAATGAGAGAGAGAGAGAGAGAGAGAGAGAGAGAGAGAGAGAGAGAGAGGAGAGAGAGAGAGAGAGAGAGAGAGGAGAGAGAGAGAGAGAGAGAGAGAGGGAGAGGAGGGGAGAGAAAGAAAGCAGAAGTAATCCATCCAGTTTACTTAACGACTACACTAAAGTTACCAATATAACAGCCACAACATTTACATTGGAACGAGTTGGATTATTTCAGTAGTTGAAACCTCCTGGTAGATACGGAGATTCTGAGATCGAGCGGTATCTTTGAAGACACTTCTCCCTGTGTAATCTACCCATGGGAGCGGTTATCAGGAAAAAAAAAAAAAACACAATAAGAAATGAAATTAAACCGTGACATTTCGGTTATTCACCCGTCTGATGAGGAAGTCTTGACGAATTCGAAACGTCATGATTCCATTT